GTTGCATATGTGTCATATGACTAGGAATCAAATTGTGCTGATAAAACACACACAAAGAGAGAGAGAGCCAGTTAGACATGTTAACAAACGAAGTTAAAGGTTCAGCCATACGCTCTCCTGCTATCAAACTGTTGACAGTAGCTTCTGGCAAATTTGACAGCCAGTTGAACATGCTGTCAAACGAAGTTAATGTTTTGCAAAGCTGTTCGTTACCTCTCAAACTGTTGACAGTAGTTTATCTGCTTCTGTTAAATTTGACATTAAGTTACATGCTGTAAAAGCTAAGTTAACATTGTTGTTAACATTTGAGCTGCTTGCAGCTAACATGGTGTTAACATGATTTAGTTATGCTTATGTGACGTTAACATTCACATCCTCTGAAAAAATGAAAGCAGGACAAATTAAGGAGCTAATAGAACACAAATTAAAAATACAGTGACTAGGAATCAAATTGTGCTGATAAAACACACACAAAGAGAGAGAGAGAGAGCGAGACATGCACACCAAAAGCATTGATAAGAAGAAAGAAAAACAACAGGTTCTAGTCGGTAGCTCCCGACTAGGGGATACCCTGAACCCTCTTCTTCCAACATCAAATGCATATTACTTTTAGAAGCTATATGTCAAGTTTGGTGACTCTAGCTCTTATTATTTACCAAAATTGCCCAAAAAACAGGATATCGATATCGATTTTTATCGATTGCTTGGAAACGGAGTAAGTTATCGATTATCGGAAACAAACTCGATCTGCGCGGGCACTAGGAGCACCTACATCTAATCTAATCTTTCAAGTCTCTAGCTCTTATAGGTTCTGAGATCCTTGCGTTCATACAGACAGACAGACAGACATGGCTAGGTGGACTCGACTGTTGATGCTGATCAAGAATATATATACTTTAAGGTGTCGGAGATGCTTCCTTCTGCCTGTTACATACATTTGGCTTTCGCACAAATACAACATACCCTTATACCCCTTTTTAATGGGGTAAAACACCTTCGGCGATAAAAACATTTTATTTTTTGCTCTCTTATCAGCGCCAATGAAACATTTGGAAACGGAACAACGGAACAGCAACTGAAGAGAGAGAGAGACAGAGAGAGAGAGAGGGCGTGAGTGTGAGAGGGAGCTCAAAAAGCCGCATGTGTATTGAACTGAAGCGTGAAACGAAACAGAATACCTGAAACAGAGACACAAACGCAGAAGCAATATCGACGGCAAACGGCGCACAATTCCCCTCAGATTATAAATAATTTGCGATAAGAACAGCATACAGATATATCTTTAAAAAAAGAAAATCGAAATTCTATAACGAAAAAGGACGCCTTGAAATGCGTAACATCAAAAATCTCAAAGATCCCACCGGCGTGCTGCTGCTCTGGCTGCTCTGGCTCTGCCCGACGACGACGGCGACGTCGACGTCGACGTCAACGTTTTTGCCAAAGGTCAGCTGCACCGAGCACGACACAACAATCACCTGCGATTGCAACAACGATGATCAGGTGAGTGCCGCGTGTGTCTGTGTTTACACTCAGAAAAATAAAGAAAGAAAGCAAAGCGAAGTGCAGACGAGCTAGCATTTGCCTAAAGTAAGCTCAAAGTTCTTAAACGAGTATCAGTTCTTTTAACTCTCCACTTTATTTAATGCACATTTTGTTCTTAATTCAAGAGTTTTTCTCTTCATTTTGTGCAATTTGAAGTACTTAAGTTTGAAATACTTAAACGGAGCACAAAGTTCTCTTTACAAGTTTTCACTTATTTAAAAAAAGAAACTCTCCAACGTAAAGCTCAATTTAAGCACATTTTTGTGCTTCTTTTAAGCCTGAAAATTATTGTGCCTGATATATGCAACTTAATTGAAGTCTTTTTGACTTCTTTTTAATATTGACGAGTCAGAAATGATGTCGAAAGCTGTTTGAGCAATTTCTTATGTTTAATTCAAGTTGCAAAATTCTTGAAATCGACTTAATTCAAGTCTTTTTCACATGCTTTTGATGTTGACTAGTCAAATATGATAAAGAACTTTACTGAGGCACTTTTTGATGCTAAATACAAGTTTTAATAGACATATGAATAATATTTTCTACTTAATTCAAGCCTTTTACGCTTATCTTCAATATTGAGAAGCCAGAACCCAATTCATGTTGAAAAATTCTTGTCATTAACATTTTGGACCTAATTTAGGCCCCTTTCGCTGACTCCTAAGATCTACGAGTACAGAATGATTCATGCTGCATTCAATTGAAATTCGCTCGTTCTCACTGACAAGTTAGTTTGTCGTTTTTCTCTGAGTGTAGATAGGCAATCTCTTAACCATATGCTAACACTCAACTACCCCCCATCTCCTCACCCAGGCCATGCTGATGCCGCAGCTGCAAGGCGCCGTTTTTCAGGTGGAAGTACGCAATTGTCGCGATTTAACCGTGGAGCCAAATACCTTGGACAATACCGAGGGTCTGCGCAAGATCAACTTTAAGCACATCAATCGCCTGATGCTGCAGCAGAACGCATTAAGCGCGTCCCGCTATGCCAGCAACAAGGCGCTAATTGTTGAGTTCGAGAATGTTAACTTTCAGTTAATCGATTCGCATGCCATCAGCGGAAACATCGAGGAGATCTCATTCACCGGTGGACGCATCGAGCAAATGCATCCATTTGGCTTCACCACCATCAAGGATAGTGCCATATTGCTCAAATTGGACGGAGTTACCGTACAGCGCCTCGAAAGTCAGGTGAGTTAAAAAGAGTTGCAAGTCCCTAGAAAGTGGAGATCTTTAGTGTTAGCAGAGGAACTGTTAAATGCCTGTTTACTTTGACAAGCGGTTAAACATGCTATCTAAACTAATGATTTGGCAAGCTGTTCTCTTCCTGCCAAACTGTTGAGAGTAGTCTCTTTGCTGCTGTTAAACTTAACATGTAGTTTGCCTATCTGATCTCTTCATGTCAAACTGTTGCCAATAGCTTCAATTAAGTTTGACAGCCAGTTGAACATACGGTTGCCAATAGTTTATCGGCTTACGTTAAATTTAACAGCCAGTTAGACATGTTAACAAATGAAGTTAAAGGTTCAGCCATTCGCTCTGCTGCTATCAAACTGTTGACAGTAGCTTATCTGCTTCTGTTAAATTTAACATTAAGTTACATGCTGTAAAAGCTAAGTTAACATTGTTGTTAACATTTGAGCTGCTTACAGCTAACATGATTTAGTTATGCTTAAGTGACGTTAACATTCACATCCTCTGAAAAAATGAAAGCAGGACAAATTAAGGAGCTAATAGAACACAAATTAAAAATACAGTTTGATGTCAAGGAGCTAAGCTAGGAATTTGGGCCATAGAGTTTTGCAATCACATCTAAAACTTATCACTTGATTTTTTACAGGCTTTCAAAAAGTTTGCCGTGGAGAAGCTGATAATTAGCAATTGCAATTTCATTGGAAATTTGCCAACGCGCGCCTTCTACGAGCTGGAGGTGACCAACGAGCTGGCGCTGCGAAACAATCAGTTCCAGGAGGTGCACTCGCACGCCTTCTCCTTCAAGCGTAAGTGCAGCCGGAAAGAATCAGCTCTTTTGTATCGATTTAATATATATGTCTCATGCAGTCATATCAAAGCTGAGCCTGAGCGAGAATCGGTTTGCGGCCGTCGATGGCGAGTGGCTGGAGGCGCATATACGGGACGCGGTCACGTTGCGTGGCAATCAGTTTGGTGGCACCAGCGAGATTGCATTTCGCAGCCTGTTCGTGCATCGCGACTATCAGCTGAGCGAGCGGCTGGAGCTGCGCTTTCACAACAACACGCTGCACAGTTTGCTGCCCGGCGGCAAGAGCCTGGATCAGGCGGCGGCAGCGGGTGCGGCGGCGGCATCGGCGCCACCTCAACCGCTGCGTTTCAATGAGCGCTTCGCGCTAAGCATACGCCAGCTGTGCTACGACAATGTCTGGAGCTGTGACCAGCTGGACACGAGCACAGAGCCGCCGCAGCCGCGCGCCGAATTCTTTCGCCAGCACAGCGAGCAGCTGCTGTTCCGCGTTGCCGCCACAGTCGATGGCACTCACACGTCATTTATGCCACTGCGTCAGCTAATTGGCGAACAATGCCAGCGCCGCAGCTATACGGCCTACATTGTGGCTGGCAGCGTGCTGCTGTTGCTGCTGCTACTGCTGCTGCTGCTGTTGCTGTGGTGGCGACTCGCGCAGCGGCGGCGGCGACGCAAACTGGATGTGGTGCAGCCGGAGCCGCGCACCTACAAGGAGACGCAGATTGTATACCAAATCGAGAACGCAGGCCTGCTCAAGACTGATTTGTAAAGCTACAAGCCACACACACAAACACACAAATCACACACAATTCACACACACACAGCTGACAGACGCTAGCTAAAGCAGAGCGACGCGGCGCACCACCAAGAACCACCAAGAGTGACCTTTCGTTGTACCAAATTCATAGCCTACGCTTAGTTTGTATCGTGTAACATTATGCTATCCATCCTATCTATATAATATCGCAACTATGTTAAACCTAAAACCTATATAAGCTGTAAATATGAAAAACGACTTACTTTCGTGATTATTAATATTCATTTAGGGTTTAAGTTTTAAGACTTGCGTCAGCAAACAACTTAACAGTATGCTATTAACATTCAGCACGTTGACAGTGCATGTTATGTTAACGTTCAGCAAGTTGACAGTGCATCTTATGTTGACATTCAGCACATTAACAGTGTATGTTATGTTAAGAGCAAAGCCTGAACAATTCTTCACTGATATCGCTACAATAGATTTCGCTCTGTTGTTCGAAAGGACTAAGTAGAAAAGAAGTGCAGTGACTAAATAAACAGTGACATGCATTCGAATGTTAGTTAACATGTTTCTTAACAGTGCATCGTTAACATAACAACAAATACTCTGAAAAATCTCTAACGCAACTCTTCAAATGGTTAACATTTCGTATTAAACTCGGCAGGTTAATGAGAAATTATAATCATGGTGAATGGCACTTACCCAATGGGCAGATATGATTCCAATGCCTGATGCACGGTTAAATGCGGTTCGGATAGCGCAAAGCCCTTGGAGAGCAGCGAATGGTGAGCGCTAATTGTTTCCTCAATGCCGCTCATGTCGTCCATGTCCTTGTCATCTGCACAAAATTGATTTAAACAGATTATGAGAATATGAATAAGAACAGCAAAAGATTCAACATAAATATCTAAGAAGTAAGAGAGAACTAACTACGGTATGCCGAAGATTAAGTATGTCTGAAAAAATATGGCATGAAAGATTAGTATATAGATTATTTCTGTGTCTGACGCTTATAATTGCCAAACGTGCTTAGTATATCTTGAAAAAGAGCAAAGTTTTCCATATATTAAATCATTTTCCGGCTTTTCGCCAGTAGAGCTCTATAATATAGCAGTCCCATGTTGTACAGATTTTAAGGATGCGTAAGGATCATGAAAAACCACGTTTGCTGAAGCTATAAATATAGGAAACAAACACCTTTCGCTTGAATTTGACTGACATGATAATCCAATTCAGCCCATCCTGACATAAATACTGCCTGCAAGAGAAAGACAAACCTACACAAGAAAGGTACACAGACAGACGAGCCAGGCTATATTGACTAGGTGTTAAGGTGAACCTACAAAATACATACTACGGAAGAAGAAGGAGCCCATGAAGTTCCTTCTCCTTCCGTGAGTTCTCCAGGCAAAGTTAAACAACCCTTAGCAAGGCTGAAAAAAGTACGCCTCTAAAGTACCATCAACAAAATTAAGGCCATGCCATGGATAAATTCCTAGCTTCTCTTCAAATTTCAGACATGCTTGCGCAAACACAAGCTGTTATGACGTACCCGGCAGATGGAGATCCTTTTTCATGAGATTGGCGCTGCACATGCCGCCCAGATAGGCCAGCTCCTGTTCCAGTCGTATCAGACACGAATTGCTGGCATTGATCTGAGCGAGAGGGCAATAGTTTGGTATAGTTAGACAAAAGTTGGATGATATATGTTCGAAAATGTGTCGCTTACCGCCGTGGGATTGTCGTAGCCAACGACCAGACACTTGAAGCCATAGCGATTGTTGTGCGGATCCTGGGCATAGAGTGAGGCCGTCTCCAGTGAGAACTCGACGCAATTGCCGGGCAAAATCAGAACGTTCTGCAGCCAATTGGAGGCGCTGAAAGCGTTAGAAAAATGCAATGAGAAATCAATTGGAATACGCGAGTATATATATATAAATTGAGTGCGTACGTATTGAACTTCTTGACCACAATCCAATCGTGATCGACTGCATCCAATTGACGCAGTGGCTGCGTGCCGGGCGTGCGACAGCAGCTGGTCATCTGTAGCTGGGCATTATGGGCGCGTCGTGCACTCACATTATTATCGAGTATATCATAGTAGTCCTCTCCAGCAGCAGCAGCAGCTGCAGCAGCTGCTGGCGTCGTTGTCGTCGCCTGGCAGGGCTGTGTTGCGGCCGCCGGACGCATGGGTATCGATAGCAGCAAATAATCCTCGAGCTGTGCGGTGCCACATTGTGCATCAAACTCAATTGTCAGCCATTGGACACAGGGCGGAAACTCGACACGATAGCAACTGATGCTGGCGCTGCGATACGGATGTTCGCTCTCCACAATGCAATAGTGATTGCTGGTCGTGGTGCTGTTGTTGCTGCTGCTGTTGCCGGTGGCGGTTGTTGTGGGTTCGGGTCGCAGCAGCGGCTGCTCTGTGCGCTGCTCCTTGGAGACATGCAGCTGATTGAGCGCCGCAATGTGCGGTAATATCTCCTTGATGAGGCCGAGTATCTGAACCGAGCTCTTGGGATCGCTGCAGGCCAAGTTGGCGATGTGCGCATAGACCAGCGGCAACAGCGTATGAAACATATTCGAGGCGGCCAAATTGAAGACCTCCAGCAGCTGCAAGGCGGCAACACCGCCGCCGCCGCCGCCAACAATTTGTGCCTCCTCCGAGTCCGAATGCAAAAGTTGCTGCAGCGGGTGCGGCTGCGGCGGTAATTGTTGCTGCTGTTGCTGTAACGGCAACTGTTGCTGCTGCAGCAGCAGCTGCTGCTGCTGGTCTGGCTCCTCCGATGCCAGCTCGTACTCGGCACGCTCATTGCCATTGAGCTTGGCGGCCAATTGGACATTGGAGAAATTCATTTCGGCCGTCTCTTCGACACCAATTTCCGTGGCGCCAATTTCGATTTCCATTTCGAATGGATTTGTTGAGCGTTTGTCAAATTTCAGTGTCTCCATGATGCCCTTGGAGAAGGACTCGATGCGTTTACCCAAATCCCTGGCCGTTGTCGACAGCTGCGGATCAACGGGCAGCGCTGCGGTCCGTGAATTATTTGCCCAATTAATGTCCATATGCTCCTCAATCGGCGTTATATTGTGCTCCGAATCGATGGTCTGTGTATGATTCGACGATGAGTTGTCTGACGGCGAACAGGATGCGGCCATCGCATTGCGCGCCAATATCAACAGCTCCGTGCATTTCTTTGTTATATCAGCGGCTATTTGCAGCGCCGTATCCCGTGTGGATATCTCGTTGCTGGCCACAGCGCTGCCATGTGCCGCATCCGCTGAGCAGCCGGCGCCAGCAGACAATGCCGCATCCTGCTGCAGCAGCTGCTGCTGCTGTTGGTGGAACTGCTGGTGATGGTGCTGCTGTTGTTGCTGCTGCTGCTTGATGGGCGTGCTGTAGTAGAGTATGCTGGGCAGTTGGCCGCGCGCGGGCGTGGTGCCATTGAAGCTCAGATCGCAGGCATAGAAATGAAAATTGGCGCCGCACGGGCCGCGCACTGTGGGCATGCCCGCATCGCCGGAACAGGTGCGCGCGCCCTGTGAGCACAGGCGTAATGCATAGCGTGCGTGCTCCTTGATGTGCACCGGATGCTCAAATTTGATTTCGGCTAGATCATTGTGCACCGCCTCCTGATCATAGCTGCCCGATATCGACTCCAATGTCTCCCATTTGTGCTGCGGCTGCAGATCCACCGTATTGTCATACAGCAGCTCCAGCTGATAGTCATAGCTGCCCGAGCCCGAATAGATCATGGCGCCGGCGATGGCAATGCCCGGACGATCCACCGAGAAGGCAATTGCATCCGGTCCGAAATTGCCCGTATTCCAGGTGCGACTCAAGTCGCAGCGTGCGAAACGTGAACTGGTCGAGTGCAGTGTCCGTGGCGGCAAAAATAGTTTATCATATTCGCCCAGGGCCGTCTGATAGACAATCTCGGCCAGGACACGGGCCAGCAGATGGCAACAGTTATCAATGAGGCCCTGATTGATGCACTCCTTGAACGCATAGCTGCCGCCCAGGCAACGACTATAGATGGACTCAATGCGCGCCCTAATTGGACTGGCTATGATTTCCAGCAGACGCACCAGCACATCCTTAAATGTCCACGAGTTGCTCAAAAAGTCGCTCTTCTCCTGCTGCGTGCGATAGATCATCTGTTCGACCAGTATCGGATACTGATGGGCCTCCGTTGACGATAGCATGGGCAGACCCGAATTATCGCTGGGACTGATTATCGACTGACGCTCATTGCCACCAGCTGCGTTCAGCAGCGAGAACGTGGCACGCAGCTTCACTGTGGGCGAACAGAGGCCGGCCAGAATGGCGCTCAGCAGGCGGGAATGCAGTGCACCGCGATCCATTTGGGCCAACAAATCGCACAGGCAGTTCCATTTGAGCGACGATGTTGGATAGAATGCATCGAAGCAGGCCACAAAGCTCAAATGACATTCGTCTAGGATTTCCAGTACCAGGGCATAGCCTAAAAGCAGAAAAAGATTGGTTAGGAGTTTATGTCAAACGGCAACAAAATAATTGATGACTTTTATCATGCACTACCAAACATGGTTGAGAAGCAGCATATGCCAGCAAAGCTCTGGCCTTAAAATTCATGAAATTCAAGAATCCTAAATGGACACAGGTAAAAATTTCCCAAATTTCAAATCTCGACACCGATTTTTTAGTCGAAATTCATGTCCAAATCTTACCCCAAGATTCGTATATAGACATGGGTCAAAATGTACCACCCCCATATCTCGGCCAAATCTCATCCGATTTTCACGAAGTTTGGCTTTTTCTTTATGGTTTTCCCTCTAGATTAATCTGGCATTCAAATCTCGAGACCAATTTTTTAGTCGAAATTCATGTCCAAATCTTACCCCAAGATTTGTATCTAGACATGGGTCAAAAATTACCACCCCCATAACTCGGTCAAATCTCATCCGATTTCCACGAAGTTTGGCTTTTTCTTCATGGTTTTCCCTCTAGATTAATCTGGCATTCAAATCTCGAGACCGATTTTTTAGTCGAAATTCATGTCCAAATCTTACCCCAAGATTCGTATCTAGACATGGGTCAAAAATTACCACCCCCATAACTCGGTCAAATCTCATCCGATTTTCACGAAGTTTGGCTTTTTCTTCATGGTTTTCCCTCTAGATTAATCTGGCATTCAAATCTGAACATCGATTTTTTAGTCGAAATTCATGTCCAAATCTTACCCCAAGATTCGTATATAGGCATGGGTCAAAATGTACCACCCCCATATCTCGGCCAAATCTCATCCGATTTTCACGAAGTTTGGCTTTTTCTTTATGGTTTTCCCTCTAGATTAATCTGGCATTCAAATCTCGAGACCAATTTTTTAGTCGAAATTCATGTCCAAATCTTACCCCAAGATTTGTATCTAGACATGGGTCAAAAAGTACCACCCCCATAACTCGGTCAAATCTCATCCGATTTCCACGAAGTTTGGCTTTTTCTTCATGGTTTTCCCTCTAGATTAATCTAGCATTCAAATCTCGAGACCGATTTTTTAGTCGAAATTCATGTCCAAATCTAACCCCAAGATTCGTATATAGACATGGGTCAAAAATTACCACCCCATAACTCGGCCAAATCTCATCCGATTTTCACGAAGTTTGGCTTTTTCTTCATGGTTTTCCCTCTAGATTAATCTGGCATTCAAATCTGAACATCGATTTTTTAGTCGAAATTCATGTCCAAATCTTACCCCAAGATTCGTATATAGGCATGGGTCAAAATGTACCACCCCCATATCTCGGCCAAATCTCATCCGATTTTCACGAAGTTTGGCTTTTTCTTTATGGTTTTCCCTCTAGATTAATCTGGCATTCAAATCTCGAGACCAATTTTTTAGTCGAAATTCATGTCCAAATCTTACCCCAAGATTTGTATCTAGACATGGGTCAAAAAGTACCACCCCCATAACTCGGTCAAATCTCATCCGATTTCCACGAAGTTTGGCTTTTTCTTCATGGTTTTCCCTCTAGATTAATCTAGCATTCAAATCTCGAGACCGATTTTTTAGTCGAAATTCATGTCCAAATCTAACCCCAAGATTCGTATATAGACATGGGTCAAAAATTACCACCCCATAACTCGGCCAAATCTCATCCGATTTTCACGAAGTTTGGCTTTTTCTTCATGGTTTTCCCTCTAGATTAATCTGGCATTCAAATCTCGACACCAATGTTTTAGTCGAAATTCATGTCCAAATCTTACCCCAAGATTCGTATATAGACATGGGTCAAAAATTACCACCCCCATAACTCGGTCAAATCTCATCCGATTTCCACGAAGTTTGGCTTTTTCTTCATGGTTTTCCCTCTTGATTAATCTGGCATTCAAATCTGAACATCGATTTTTTAGTCGAAATTCATGTCCAAATCTTACCCCAAGATTCGTATCTAGACATGGGTAAAAAATGACTACCCCCATATCTCGGCCAAATCTCATCCGATTTTCACGAAGTTTGGCTTTTTCTTTATGGTTTTCCCTCTAGATTAATTTGGCATTCAAATCTCGACACCGATTTTTTAGTCGAAATTCATGTCCAAATCTTACCCCAAGATTCGTATATAGACATGGGTCAAAAATTACCACCCCCATAACTCGGCCAAATCTCATCCGATTTTCACGAAGTTTGGCTTTTTCTTCATGGTTTTCCCTCTAGATTAATCTGGCATTCAAATCTGAACATCGATTTTTTAGTCGAAATTCATGTCCAAATCTTACCCCAAGATTCGTATATAGGCATGGGTAAAAATGTACCACCCCCATATCTCGGCCAAATCTCATCCGATTTCCACGAAGTTTGGCTTTTTCTTCATGGTTTTCCCTCTAGATTAATCTGGCATTCAAATCTCGACACCGATGTTTTAGTCGAAATTCATGTCCAAATCTTACCCCAAGATTCGTATATAGACATGGGTCAAAAATTACAACCCCCATAACTCGGTCAAATCTCATCCGATTTCCACGAAGTTTGGCTTTTTCTTCATGGTTTTCCCTCTAGATTAATCTGGCATTCAAATCTCGACACCGATGTTTTAGTCGAAATTCATGTCCAAATCTTACCCCAAGATTCGTATATAGACATGGGTCAAAAATTACCACCCCCATAACTCGGCCAAATCTCATCCGATTTTCACGAAGTTTGGCTTTTTCTTCATGGGTTTCCCTCTAGATTAATCTGGCATTCAAATCTGAACATCGATTTTTTAGTCGAAATTCATGTCCAAATCTTACCCCAAGATTCGTATATAGACATGGGTCAAAAATTACCACCCCCATAACTCGGTCAAATCTCATCCGATTTCCACGAAGTTTGGCTTTTTCTTCATGGTTTTCCCTCTAGATTAATCTGGCATTCAAATCTGAACATCGATTTTTTAGTCGAAATTCATGTCCAAATCTTACCCCAAGATTCGTATATAGGCATGGGTCAAAATGTACCACCCCCATATCTCGGCCAAATCTCATCCGATTTTCACGAAGTTTGGCTTTTTCTTTATGGTTTTCCCTCTAGATTAATCTGGCATTCAAATCTGAACATCGATTTTTTAGTCGAAATTCATGTCCAAATCTTACCCCAAGATTCGTATATAGGCATGGGTCAAAATGTACCACCCCCATATCTCGGCCAAATCTCATCCGATTTTCACGAAGTTTGGCTTTTTCTTCATGGTTTTCCCTCTAGATTAATCTGGCATTCAAATCTGAACATCGATTTTTTTGTCGAAATTCATGTCCAAATCTTACCCCAAGATTTGTATAGACATGGGTCAAAAATTACCACCCCCATAACTCGGTCAAATCTCATCCGATTTCCACGAAGTTTGGCTTTTTCTTCATGGTTTTCCCTCTTGATTAATCTGGCATTCAAATCTCGACACCGATTTTTTAGTCGAAATTCATGTCCAAATCTAACCCCAAGATTCGTATATAGACATGGGTCAAAAATTACCACCCCCATAACTCGGCCAAATCTCATCCGATTTTCACGAAGTTTGGCTTTTTCTTCATGGTTTTCCCTCTAGATTAATCTGGCATTCAAATCTGAACATCGATTTTTTAGTCGAAATTCATGTCCAAATCTTACCCCAAGATTTGTATCTAGACATGGGTCAAAAATTACCACCCCCATAACTCGGTCAAATCTCATCCGATTTCCACGAAGTTTGGCTTTTTCTTCATGGTTTTCCCTCTAGATTAATCTGGCATTCAAATCTCGACACCGATGTTTTAGTCGAAATTCATGTCCAAATCTTACCCCAAGATTCGTATGTAGACATGGGTCAAAAATTACCACCCCCATAACTCGGCCAAATCTCATCCGATTTTCACGAAGTTTGGCTTTTTCTTCATGGTTTTCCCTCTAGATTAATCTGGCATTCAAATCTGAACATCGATTTTTTAGTCGAAATTCATGTCCAAATCTTACCCCAAGATTTGTATATAGGCATGGGTCAAAATGTACCACCCCCATATCTCGGCCAAATGTCATCCGATTTTCACGAAGTTTGGCGTTTTCTTCACGGTTTTCCCTCTAGATTAATCTGGCTTTCAAATCTCGACACCGATTTTTTAGTCGAAATTCATGTCCAAATCTAACCCCAAGATTCGTATATAGACATGGGTCAAAAATTACCACCCCCATAACTCGGCCAAATCTCATCCGATTTTCACGAAGTTTGGCTTTTTCTTCATGGTTTTCCCTCTAGATTAATCTGGCATTCAAATCTGAACATCGATTTTTTAGTCGAAATTCATGTCCAAATCTTACCCCAAGATTCGTATATAGACATGGGTCAAAAATTACCACCCCCATAACTCGGTCAAATCTCATCCGATTTCCACGAAGTTTGGCTTTTTCTTCATGGTTTTCCCTCTAGATTAATCTGGCATTCAAATCTGAACATCGATTTTTTAGTCGAAATTCATGTCCAAATCTTACCCCAAGATTTGTATATAGGCATGGGTCAAAATGTACCACCCCCATGTCTCGGCCAAATCTCATCCGATTTTCACGAAGTTTGGCGTTTTCTTCACGGTTTTCCCTCTAGATTAATCTGGCATTCAAATCTCGACACCGATTTTTTAGTCGAAATTCATGTCCAAATCTTACCCCAAGATTCGTATATAAGCATGGGTCAAAATGTACCACCCCCATATCTCGGCCAAATCTCATCCGATTTTCACGAAGTTTGGCTTTTTCTTAATGGCTTTCCCTCTAGATTAATCTGGCATTCAAATCTCGACACCGATTTTTTAGTCGAAATTCATGTCCAAATCTTACCCCAAGATTCGTATATAGACATGGGTCAAAAATTACCACCCCCATAACTCGGCCAAATCTCATCCGATTTTCACGAAGTTTGGCTTTTTCTTTATGGTTTTCCCTCTAGATTAATCTGGCATTCAAATCTCGACACCGATTTTTTAGTCGAAATTCATGTC